CCTGGCCACAAGGACGTGGGGGTCTTTTTTGTCTGGTTCTGCTGCCCCTGAGATTCACTAGCTTTATGCCCAAGTTATTTGGTTAGTAAGGTTTTCAGAATTATAGGCTTCCTGCAGTCCTTTGCTTTCGTATGTTGACCTAAATCCCAAGTATTTTACATCATGGAAAGAAATTGGAACTTTTATTGATTTCGTTGGGGGAGGGGCGCCACTGGAGGAGAATGAACCCGTATTTGGTTGAAGCAGAGTGTCAGGGACAACATTGGCAAGACCAACACTAAGGCTAATCTGGACCCACTTTGCTCTCCCTTTTTCCTTTAACGTCCCTGAGTTGGACAGTTGGATCCATAGACTATGGTTGTGAATTCCCCAAGTTATTCACGGTGGTGATGCTTTGCAGACAGCCGGCAGAGAGAGAAGCTGGCTACCATGGAATCACCCGAGGAGCCTGGAGCATCCATGGATGAGAACTACTTTGTGAACTACACTTTCAAAGATCGGTCCCACTCAGGCCGTGTGGCTCAAGGCATCATGAAACTGTGTCTGGAGGAGGAGCTCTTTGCTGATGTCACCATTTCAGTGGAAGGCCGGGAGTTTCAGCTCCATCGGCTGGTTCTCTCAGCTCAGAGCTGCTTCTTCCGGTCCATGTTCACTTCCAACCTGAAGGAGGCCCACAACCGGGTCATTGTGCTGCAGGATGTCAGTGAGTCTGTTTTCCAGCTCCTGGTTGATTATATCTACCATGGGACTGTGAAACTTCGAGCTGATGAGTTGCAGGAAATTTATGAGGTGTCAGACATGTATCAGCTGACATCTCTCTTTGAGGAATGTTCTCGGTTTTTGGCCCGCACAGTGCAGGTGGGAAATTGTCTTCAGGTGATGTGGCTGGCAGATCGGCACAGTGATCCTGAGCTCTACACTGCTGCCAAGCACTGTGCCAAGACCCACCTGGCCCAGTTGCAGAACACAGAGGAATTTCTCCACTTGCCCCATCATCTACTCACTGATATCATCTCGGGTAAGTTTCAGAAGAGGGCATATCATATCCAGCTTCTTGTTCAGTGTATGTTCTAGTTCAGGAGAAAGGAACCTTCAGGCTTCGTGGTGTTAGTTTACATTATTATTCCTACGTTACTATTGAGACACTTGAGAGAGGTTGAGTTGAGATTCAGTGCATTTGTTGTCAGAGACAGTCCCTTACCGAGGAAGAAGCCAACACTCACCCACAAAAGGTAGTGAGGAGCTATTTGTATTATACTCTGATCTCTCCTGTGCCTAAGTGTTCTCATCTCTCCTGTACTTTGTGTGTACTTATGAGTTTAATTACCTATTTAAATTGATGATGAGTCAAGATAGCTAATAAGCTTGACCCTGCAAGTTAGGTATAACCATACTTTAGATTTGAGCTCTACAGCCTAGTAGGTTGTTTCCATGGCAGATGGGAACATATCAAGCCATCCATTTTGATTTCAAAAAGCAAGGCAATTTTAGGTTAATTTCTTGTATGTATGTACGTATGTATACACACATGGTGGTAGTCTAATAAAATGGTTCACATCTTTAAAGCCCCTTACTCTAAATTTCCCTTTTGGATTATCAGATTGTCATTACCATGTCTTTCCTCTGGCTCTCACAGATGGAGTTCCATGTTCCCAGAACCCAACAGAGGCAATAGAAGCCTGGATCAATTTTAACAAAGAGGAAAGAGAGGCTTTTGCAGAGTCACTCAGGACTAGCTTGAAGGTAAGGCAGATTTCTTAAGAGCTAGGACGTCATACTCTCCATACATTCCAGCCATCAGTTGGCCTAGCCTTTTTTTTTTTTTTTTTTCCCGAGACACAGTCTGGCTCCATTGCCCTGGCTAGAGTACCATGGCATCAGCCTAGCTCACAGCAACCTCAAACTTCTGGGCTCAAGCCATCCTCCTGCCTCAGCTTCCCGAGTAGCTGGGACTACAGGCATGCGCCACCATGCCCGGCTAATCTTTTCTGTATATATATTTTTTAGTTGTCCAGATAATTTCATTCTATTTAGTAGAGATGGGGTCTCGCTCTTGCTCAGGCTGGTCTCGAACTCCTGACCTTGAGCGATCCACCTGCCTCGGCCTCCAAGAGAGCTAGGATTACAGGCATGAGCCACCGTGCCCGGCCGGCCTGGCCTTTTTTTGATGGCTGTTGAGTAAGTCATCTCCGGCTTGAAGTTGATATGAGCTGGGGAGAAGGATGTGTTTGTGACCCCCAAAACCAATCTATGAGCTTCAGATGTCATTGAGAGAACTACTTTCATCACAGAGTTAACAGTCTTAAGCACCCTTTGTCTGAAGCACCAGCTTACAATAGTTTTTAAAAAGCTGCAAGGATGAGTGTAACATACTGACTTAACATAAAATGTCTCAAAGAAAGTGATTATAGGAGACCCAGGATGACATATAGTAACTAGAGGGGATTGTATTAGAGCAAGATAAAAGTGTGAGGGCCCAGACTTTAAGAATATATGTCTTAGCTGATCCTTAGCCTAGAACTGATAGCTGTAATTTATAATTTTAATTTTGCCAATAGGAAATTGGGGAGAATGTGCACATTTACCTGATTGGGAAAGAGTCATCTCGTACTCACTCGTTGGCGGTGTCCTTGCACTGTGCAGAAGATGACTCCATCAGTGTAAGTGGCCAAAACAGCTTATGCCACCAGATCACTGCAGCCTGCAAGCATGGTGGAGACTTGTATGTGGTGGGAGGCTCCATACCACGACGCATGTGGAAGTGCAACAATGCCACCGTTGACTGGGAGTGGTGTGCACCTTTGCCTCGGGACCGGCTCCAGCACACCCTGGTGTCTGTGCCCGGGAAAGATGCCATATATTCATTGGGTGGCAAGACACTGCAGGATACCCTCTCCAATGCGGTCATCTATTATCGGGTAGGTGATAACGTGTGGACAGAGACAACCCAGCTAGAGGTGGCTGTGTCAGGGGCTGCTGGTGCCAACCTCAATGGGATCATCTACTTACTAGGGGGGGAGGAGAACGATCTGGACTTCTTTACCAAACCTTCCCGACTCATCCAGTGCTTTGACACAGAGACAGACAAATGCCATGTGAAGCCCTATGTGCTGCCCTTTGCAGGCCGCATGCACGCAGCTGTGCATAAGGATTTGGTGTTCATCGTGGCTGAAGGGGACTCCCTGGTGTGCTACAATCCCCTGCTAGACAGCTTTACCCGGCTCTGCCTTCCTGAGGCCTGGAGCTCTGCCCCATCCCTCTGGAAGATTGCCAGCTGTAATGGAAGCATCTATGTCTTCCGGGACCGATATAAAAAGGGGGATGCCAACACCTACAAGCTTGACCCTGCCACTTCAGCGATAACTGTCACGAGAGGCATTAAGGTGTTGCTTACCAATTTGCAGTTTGTGTTGGCCTAAGGCTGTGGGGGGAATGCAGCTGACTCCTTTGCCCTCTCCCTTTGCAGCACCTCCCTACCCATACTCGAAGTCCCTTGGGCCCCAATTCAGTGTAATGTTATTTTTTGGGCACAGTTTAGAAAGGCAGCGACTGTCCTTCCCCAAACCCATGTAAGTGTTCTGTTTGGGGCTTTTTGGACTGCCGCTGCTCAGCTGGCCACTTGAACTGAGAGTAGGCCAGCCTGTTCTCTGCTGCTCCTTGGTAATCCTGTGCCACACTACAGATTGCTTAGAGTAAGCCTCCCCTCTTTACCTGATCAATGTTGAATAGAAGCACCCCTGATCCCAGGGCAGAAGGAAAGATGCCCAGTCATACTTTTTTTCTATAGCCTGCGAAGTGGCTGGTTGATAATTTTTCCACAAATAATTAGGTGTTAGAGTTTTCCTTCAGGTTTTGGTTGCCACAGTGGAGTGAAATGAAGGTGTGCTTCACCAGTAAGCGTCAACTCTAGAATTCAGGATGTTCCTTCTATTGCTTTCTTGTCTGTCAGGAAATGTAATTTTGGTTTTATTTTTGGCTTATTTCAAGAGGTAAGCCAGAAAGTAGAAAGGATTATTTCTGATTAATAGCAGAAACTATTCAATGCTAGGCTATTAAAAAAAAAGTAAAAAATAGCAGAAACTTTTTCCAAACTCAAAAATACAAGATCTCTTCTCTTAAATGCTCTAAGTTAAGTCAAGAGCTAGGAACTGTTCATACAAATAAAAGTTTTTGAAGGGATGTGTGTGTCTGTGTTGAATTCTGAAGGAGTGACTCCCTAAGAGGAACTGATTACACGCTCACACATTTCTGAGTCAGCAGCAGTCCTAATGGCAACCCGTGCTTCCTTTTCTGCATACAGAATCATAGTTTTAAAAGTGTGAAGCAAGCCCCACAGGGCCAGTGAAATTGGAATTTTTTTTCTTTTTTTTTTTAAGAGACAGGGTCTGTCACCCATGCTGGAGTACAGTGGCATGATCACAGCTCACTGCAGCCTCAAACTCCTCAGCTCAAGTGATCCTCCTGCATAGCTGGGACTATAGGCACAGGCTACCATGCCTAGCTAAGTTTTTAAATTTTTAAAAATGGAGACAGGGTCTCGCTTTGTTGCCCAGGCTGGCTTTAAGCAATCCTCCCACCTTGGCCTCCCAAAGTGCTGGGATTATAGGTGTGAGCCATCACACCCAGTTGAAATTGGAGTTTCTGACAGTGGCAAAGAGCCAGACCTGAGTATTCCTTCTCTCTTCTTTCTAGTGTTACGTGTCTTTGAGTTACGGTGCTATATATTATCAGGTACGATATTAGGTACACAATAAAGTTTTGTTAAAATTAATAATTCCTTGGCCCTATTTGAGAAAATAAGATATCCCCATCCCTATCCTCTACCCTGTAAATACAAGCCATGCTAAATCTCTTCCTCTCTAGCTATACAACAGTGTTATTTCAGAAAAATGAAACAAGGCAGAGGAAGCAAAATTACCTATTACTTAGAACATTTCTGATATGTCAAGTTTGGACCTAAGGCCCTTAGGTCCCATTAAACTTTTATTCTGTATCAGGCAGGGATGTCTTCCTTCTTCTTTTTCCTGACCAAGGGATTCACATCATATTGAGTTCTTTCTAATCCACGTAATTCATGTCTTTGATGTGTCACTTGTCTCATCCTTGGCTGCCCCTACTGTAATCTTGTGGAACTCTTTTAAAACATCCAACTGACCAGGTCTGATGTGGATGTGTGACCGGATCTCGGTGATGGCTCTTACAGCCTCTTCTGGACTCCAGTTGTGCACCTGAAGTACAGGGTTGGGAAATCAGCAGACAAAGAAAGGAGCAGGTGTTAAGGTGCCCTTGACCTGTGGGCAGGTGCTAAAGGACTCTGTGAATTTCATTTCTTTAAAAACTCTATTTTGGGAGGCATTAAAAACTGTGTTATAAATGGGAGGGCACTTTAACCACCACAGTTAAAGTGAGACTCCACAATACTATGCATTAGGCCAGGAGGACAAGTCAGTCTTTCTGCCCAATTTTTGCTCTGCCATACCCTGGGGAAACAAGGTTGCACATGTGAAGCTGACATCCTAGGTTCAAGACCGCTTAGGCCCTAGGCCTGCCCAATGTCCTGAGGTGGGCTTTTGGTTAGAAGAATTTCTAGGAAAGAGTATATGGTAGATGTTTCTATGTAACTCATCACCATGGCTGGAAAAACAAAGAGTACTTTTTCATTTAACTAGGAGGGTTATCTGTGTCCTAAGGATACTCATTGGTTTAGAACTCAACAGAACTGGCTCAGGGGGTGGCTCACATCTGTAATCCTACCACTGTGGAAGGCCAAGGCGGGAGGATTGCTTGAAGTCAGGAGTTCGAGACCAGCCTGAGCAAAAGCAAGACCCTGAAGACCCTCTCGCTACACAAAACAGAAAAATTAGCTGGGCATGGTGGCACGTGCCTGTAGTTCCAGCTACTCCGGAGGCTAAGGCAGGAAGATCACTTGTGCCCAGGAGTTGGAGGTTGCACTCTACCCAAGGAAACAGACCCAAGCTCGCTTGCTCTCAAAAAAAAAAAAAAAGCTCAACAGAACCAAGAAAATACAGGTTTCTAGCTGACTGGTTCAACTCTTGGCACAAAAATACCCTCCTGAGACCTTGTTTCCAGCAAAGAGTCCTTATGACCAAAGCTTTAGTATTGTTCAGTCAGACACTCACCAGTCCACAGTAACACAATCAAGGCCAGGCTTAACTATTCACATGACTTAGAAAATTCAGGGGTCAAGCAGGTTACTAAAATGAGTCAAGCTAGGAGGGTGGATAACAACAGGGAATGGTGAAGGACTACAGGGTATTTGCTTCTAAATATTTTTGAAGCATCCCACCTGCCAATCAAAACAAATTGATAGGCAAAATTCAGTTTACATCTTCTGTTTCTAGAAACTAATTTCCAGAACTTACACTATGAAATACTTGAAGAAACCTGAGTACTATAGAGCTGAAAGTGATCAGCACTATTATCTACAGTACTAGATTTCCTGACATGCTATTTATAACAAGTGTTTCTAGCCTTTTGCTGGGGTCGGACATCCTTTGCAACTCCATTGTTTTGAGTGCCTGCTGTAGGCCAGTGCTTGATGTACTTTCCAAATGAAGCTTCCTAACACATTTGAGGAAACAGCATCAGAGAAGCCACTTTTGCCCATCCCAGCTGCCAGGTGGCAGAGCCAGAGATGAGCCTATCCACAAAGCTCACGTGCTTTCCACAATACCACACCACCTCCCAGCAGCCTGAAATTGGGTATATGGCTCCTTCCAATAAGGCCCACCAGTAGGCCATGCTATTGAAACTTTGGAAATCTGCTATAAATGGGGCCAGTCCAGAAAGACCTTTCCTACCTGAATCAGATATGCTGCCACCATAGTGGCACTCCTGGAGCGCCCAGCCTTACAATGCACGTAGACACACTGGCCCAGCGACTGGTACTGGAGAGCAAACTGGACTCCTTTCTGGAGGTTGGCCAAGGTGGGGATCCCAATTATGTCTACTGTGCTGAGCCGCAGCTGCTCGACTCCTACTCTCTTCCATTCCTGGAACCAGGTCCACCAGCATAAAAAAGAGAATGGAAAAAACCTGATGGGGGTGGGATGACAAGAGGTTCCCAAGAGGAAGCAAAACAACAAGGAAGTTTCACAGTTTACTACAATGTGAATATATTGTTTTCTGTTTTCTAAAAGAGAAACTTCTTACAGAAATGCCTTTAAAATGGCTGGCCTACCTGGTTGGTCTTTCAAACAACAGCTATGCTGCTGCTGAGTTAGAATTATGTCCAAGATTTAAAGGTTTTTTAAGGTACACTTTGGGTACTAGAACCTTTAGCTGCAAAATATTAGCTGTATAATTTTCAGCTGCAAAAGTTACATGACTATGTTTTTACATAACCTTGGCACCTGTCCAGTGATACGTCTGCAGGGTTGGGGGTATTATATTTTGCCAGGGCTTTCTATTTCTCTATCCAGCACTCTCTCTGGTTTTTGTTTGTTTGTTTTTTCTTTGAGACAGGGTCTCTGTCACCCCGGCTAGAGTATAGTGGCGTCACCATAGCTCACTGCAACCTCCAATTCCTGGGCTCAAGGGATCCTTCTGCCTCAGCCTCCCAAGTAGTTGGGACTACAGGTGTGTGCCACCACACCTGGCTAATTTTTCTTTTTTTTTTTTTTTTAGAGACAGGGGGTCTAACCCTTGCTCACGCTGGTCTTGAACTCTTGACCTCAAGTGATCCTCCTGCCTCAGCCTCCCAAAGTGCTAGGATTACAGATTGTGAGCCATGGACCCCGGCTGAGAAGTCTTCTCTTTTTACCACTTTTTTTTTTAAGGGAGTGCATGGTACAAAATAGGGTTATCCTGTAATCCCAGCACTATGGGAGGCTGATGGGGGAGAATCCATTAAGGCCAGGAGTTTGACACCAGCCTTGGCAACATAGTGAGACCCTGTCTACAAAAATAATATTTTTTGGCCGGGCACGGTGGCTCACACCTGTAATCCTAGCACTCTGGGAGGCCGAGGCAGGTGGATCGCTCAAGGTCAGGAGTTCTGAGACCAGCCTGAGCAAGAGCAAGACCCTGTCTCTACTGAAAAATAGAAAAAATTAGCCAGGCACGGTGGCGCATGCCTGTAGTCCCAGCTACTCAGAAGGCTGAGGCAGGAGGATCCCTTGAGCCCAGGAGTTTGAGGTTGCTGTGAGCTAGGCTGACGGCACAGCACTCTAGCCGGGGCAACAGAGTGAGACTCTGTCTCAAAAAAAAAAAAATCTATGGGTTAAAATAATAGCATACTCATCAGGCTATATCAGTACAATAAATAAGAAAGATAAATTGCTTAGTACTAATAGATGTCAAACACTATAAAGATAGGGCAACATCTTCCATTAATAATAACCATTGTGGAAGGTTCCACAAACATTCACATTGAATGAAAATTGTTTTAAACCTGAACTTTGTTACCCAAGTACTTTGGAGTTCCACATGATCTCTAACATATGAATAAAAATTCCCCCAAATCAGAGCCAAATGAGCCCTTTACAATTTTTCAGGGGATAGTTTTATGATAACGTTGGGGGCTGGGTAGAGAGGGAGAGGGGATGCTTATTATAATTGGCAGGGCCTTCATCTTGAATGCCTAACAGTGCCTTACCCCTACTTAGGTGTTCAGTAAGTGCTGAATGAATGAATGGATGAATGAATGAATAAAATCAACAAGGTCCAGCAAAGCTTCCTTTTTATTTTAGTTACTGATTGTAGTTACTGAATTTAAGAATACATTTGTGCACAAAGGAGTAATCGGACTTTGTCAACTTTGTACTTTTAAATGTCTTTCACAATTAGTTTCTATCCTACCTCCAGCTGCAGCCATTTAAGCTTAGAGGCCCAGGCCCTCCTCCTGAGGAGGCAAAGAAGCCTGGGACACCTGTCTCTGGGGAATGGTCACCTGCAGATCCCCTCCTCCCCCAACTTTTCTAGCTGTCCCAGGCCCAGGGTGAGGCCGAGGCGCCCCTGCCCCAGCTCCTGCCTGCGGGTCCCGCCCCTCCGCCGCGGCCCGGGCTTCTCACCTGTGAGGAGTTGCACAGGAACCTCGTCTCATACTCCTCGTTCATGGTGATCACCCCACGCACGTTCTCGTCCTGCACCAGCTGCCGAGGCAAAGAGGGGACTCAGCAAGGGCGGCGGAGACCCCAGCAGGCCGGCGGGGCGGGCGTGGAGGCCCCGGCCTGGCTCGCCGGCTCAGGCTCTGGGCCCGGCCTCCCCGCCCGGCTCACCTGGCGCGTCATGTTCCGCAACGGCAGCGCGCCCAGCAGCACCGTGGAGTCGATGCGGTGGTACCAGGCGCGGTGCGCCCGGCCCGGCATCTTCCCGCGGAGCAACGTGTAGAGCAGCGTCGGGTAGAAGAGCACCCGGGCCAAGCCGGCCTGCAGCCACGCGGCGGCCGCCATCCCGTCCCCCCAACCTCCCGCCTGGCGCAGCGGAGACGCGTCCGCCCCCGGGCTCGCGGTCCGCGGCCGCGAGAAGAGCTGGCGGGGCGACGAGGGCAAGGGCTGCGAGCGGCCCGAGGCCTCCCGCGAAGGCGACGCGGTCTGCGCGGGCGCAGAGACTCCCCGCCCGGCCACCATGGCTCCGGAGGAGGGGCCGCCGACCTCAGGGGAGGGCCCTGGGACTCCTGGGCGGGAAACTGGGACCCAGGCCGAGGGAGAGTGCGTCCTGGGCCAGAGGCCGGTGGACCTGCCGCGTGAGAAACTGGGACCCCTGCCTGTGGCTAGTGACACCCCTCCCCCGAGGGAAGGGGCTGCGATCCCAGGTGAAGGGGGTCATGACACCCGCATGTGGAACTATGACTCCGGCCGAGGGAGGAGGGGACAGTCTCCCCAATTCCCGGCCAGAAGGAGGGGCAGTGACCCTAGGTTAGGATGTGACCCCCGACAAAGGGGAGACAAGACTAGGATGAGACTCTGTGGCAGTGAAGGGGAGAGTGGGAGTGGCTTTGAGCTTTCCAGCAGAGGAGCTGCCTGGTGTCAGAGGGCCTATCTGGGCGAACAGGGCACCTGGCTTGATGTCGCCCTCCCACTTCCCTCCCCAGTCTCAATGCATAGCTCAGTCCTCCTTACCAAACAGCACTATATGCATAATATGAAAAAACAGGAAAATATATATTATATTAATATATCATTAAGAAAAATGTTATGAAAAGCTCAAATATAAAACCCACAACCTACAAAGAGCTAAGGAATGGTTGTAATGCTGGTTGTTTACATTTCACTAGTTGTCTGAAAGGGCATCAGGTGCTTTTTGAGAAGGTTTATTTTCTCCTTTTAAAAGTAATACGAACTCATGACAACTGGAAAATACAGAAAAGTGGGACCAATTTACTTATTTTTCTTATTTCTTTTAAAAATTTTTTAAAGCATGCTCCCCAGAAAAGTTAGAATTTACTTATCACTCATAATACTACCGCCTCAAATACATTTATTTTTTTCCTCCATTTTCCTTCCCATGTATACCATTAAAAAACAACTTTATAAGCCAGGGAGTGGCAGGGCACACCTGTAGTCCCAGCTACTTGGGAGGCTGGGGTGGGAGGATCCTTGAGCCCAGGAGTTCCAGGCTGGGTGAGCTATGATTATGCCACTGCACTCCAGCCTGGGCCACAGAGGGAGACCCCGTCCCAAAAAAAAGCAAACAAAAAACTTTATAGTAACAGCTTTATTGAGATATAATTCACGTGCCATACAATTCACCCATTTAAAGTGTACAGTTCAATGATTTTTAGTACATTCATTGAGTTGTACAACTGTCACCACAGTTAATTTTAGAACATTTTCATTGCCCTAAAAAGAAACCCCATACCCATTAGCAGTCACTCATCATTTCTTCCCAACTTCTGAGCCCTAGGCAACCACTAATCTACTTTCTATCTCCATAGAATGGCATTTTTGGGGCATTTCAAATATTAATAAATGGAATTATACAATATATGCCCTTTGTATCTGGCTTAAACTATTTTCAAGGTTCATTCATGTTGTAGGATTTATGAGAACTGTATTTATTTTTATTGCCAAATATTCCATTGTATGGATATACCACATTTTGTTTCTCCATTTATCAGTTGATGAACATTTGGATTATTTCCTTTTTTTTTTTGAGACAGAGTCTCACTCTGTTGCCCAGGCTAGAGTGCTGTGGCATCAGTCTAGCTCACAGCAACCTTCAAACTCCTGGGCTCAAGCAATCCTCTGCCTCAGCCTCCAGAGTAGCTACTATCTAGCTAATTTCTTTCTTTGTTTTTTTTTTAGTAGAGATGGGGTCTCACTCTTGCTCAGACTGGTCTCGAACTCCTGAGCTCAAACAATCTGCCCACCTTGGCCTCCCAGAGTGCTAGGATTACAGGTGTGAGCCACTGTGCCTGGCCACCATCATTTCTTTAACCAGTTCCCTATTGATTGATAGCTGGGTAACTTCTAGCTTTTTTCACCAATAACAAAGATAGTCGAATGAGTGCAGAGACCCTGTCCAACTTATTCATGCCTGTAATCCCACTGTCTATCCTAGTGTCTGATGTAGTTAGCATTCACTAAACACTAGTTGGTTTAATCAAAGAATGCTGCAGAAAGTGCTCTTGTACACTTTATCCACTTGTGTTTCTGAAGGAAATATTTCTAGAAATACAATTGCTGTATCAAAGGATATGAGTATCTTTTGAAGAGAGTCACAGGAAATTTTTTTATTCTTGAGACAGAGTCTCGCTGTGTCACCCGGGCTAGAGTGTAGTGGCGTCAGCCTAGCTCACAGCAACCTCAAACTCCTGGGCTCAAGCAATCCTCCTGCCTCAGCCTCCTGAGTAGCTGGGACAACATGTGTGTGCCACCACGCCCAGCTAATTTCTTGTATTTTTAGTTGCCTGGCTAATTTCTTTCCATTTTTTAGTAGACATGGGGTCTTGCTCTTGCTGAGGCTGGTCTCGAACTCCTGAGCTCAACGGATCCTCCTGCCTCAGCCTCCCAGAGTGCTAGGATTACAGGTATGAGCCACCACGCCCGGCCACAGGGAATTTTTTCTAGCTTTGTTGAGTATAATTAATACTCACTAAACCACACATATTTAAGATATACACTTTAATACATTTTGACATATGTATATATTTGTGCAACCACTGCCACAATGAAGATAATGGAACATAACAATCACCCCCAAAAGTTTTCTTAGGCCCCTTTGTAATCCCATCTTCCCATACCTTTTTACTCCCTTAGCCCATTCCCTGGCAACCACTAATCCATTATTGATTAGTTAGCATGTTCCAGAATTTTATATAAACATGTGAATATTTTAACCTTAATGATTATTTTTATTTATTTATTAATTTTTAAATTTGGTTGCCCGGCTAATTTTTTTTTTTATTTTTAGTAGAGATGGGGGTCTCACTCTTGCTCAGGCTAGTCTGGAACTCCTACCCTCAAGCAATCCTCCCGCTGGGGCCTCCCAGAGTGCTAGGATTACAAGCAGTGCACCTGGCCTAATGATTATTTTTAAATTTCCCTCCAATACGCCTATATCTTTATACATTGAGAGTGCTTGTTTCTTACAACCTTATCAGCCTTTTAAATTGTAATTATTTATTTCCCAATCTGACAGTATAATCACATTGGTTTAATTTGAATATGTTTAATTATTAGTGAGTTGAGATTGAACACTTTAGGTTTAGTGGCCATTTGTATTCTTCCTATGAATTGCCTGTTCATCTCCTTTGTCCATCTGTCTAATGGGTTGTTTGTTGCTATTCTTCCTAGCTATAGAAAGTGCACAAACTAAAAATGTATGACTTGAATAAATTTTACACATTTATACACCCATGTAATCACCACCCAGATCAAAATATAAAACATTCCTATACCCCCAAAAGCTCCCTCCTCTCCAGTCAATAGTTAATCATTTCTCCCCAGCAAAGGTAACTTTTATTATTTTCACTTGTTCTCAAATTTTAATTAAATGGGCTTGTACAATATATGCTCTTTTGTTTCTTTATTTCTTTTTTTTTTTTTTTTGAGACAGTCTCAGTCTGTTGCCCGGACTAGAGTGCCATGGCATCACCCTAGCTCACAGCAACCTCAAACCCCTGGGCTCAAGTGATCCTTCTGCCTCAGCCTCCTGAGTATCTGGGACTACAGGCATGCGCCACCATGCGCAGGTAATTATTTTTTTATATATATACTTTTAGTTATCCAGCTAATTTATTTCTATTTTTAGTAGAGATGGGGTCTTGCTCTTGCTCAGGCTGGTCTCGAAGTCCTGAGCTCAAACGATCCTCCCGCTTCGGCCTCCCAGAGTACTAGTCTTACAGGTGTGAGCCACTGAGCCCAGCCCTATGCTCTTTTCTTTCTGGTTTGTTTTGCTCAATATTATGTCTGGGAATTCATCTCTGTTGCTATATGTAATAACAATTTGTTCCTTTTCATATAAGTATAATGGACTATTATATGAGTAGTGCATTATGAGTATATTCTATAATTTATCATTTCCAGTGTGGGCTATTATTAATATAATAAACCTGCTACAAACCATTCTTTTGGTGGAAAGAAGTAGCACTCATTTCTGTCGGGAGTAGAATCGCTGCACCATAGGGTATAAGTCTGTTTAGCTGCTTAGCTTTAGTATAATAGATACTGTCAAAGGGTCTTCTACAGTGGTTGTACAAATTTTCACTCCTACCAACAAAATACAAGTTCAAAACAAAAGGCTTCACTGCAAATCTCAGTAGGGAAAAGATGGTCTCTTCAAATGGTGATGGATCAACTGAATATACAAGTGAAAAGAAAGGAAAAAAGAAACTTGACCCCTATCTCATACCATACACAAAAATTAGATACAGATCTTAGATTAAAATGTGAAAGATTAAAACAATAGAGGAGAAAATTTTCATGACCTGGGTAAACAAAAATTTCTTAAACACAACATGGAAAGTAATAACCATAATATAAGGATTGATAAATGGAATCTTATGAAAATTAAGACCTTTAATTCATCAAAAAAAAAAAACATTAAGAGGGTAAAAAGCAAGCCACACACTGGGAGAAGATATATGCAATACATGTATCTGACCAGGAACTTGTATGTGAAATATAGACTGGGCACAGTGGCTGACGCCTATAATCCTAGCACTTTGGAAGGCCGAGGCAAAGGATTGCTTAAAGCCGGGAGTGCAAGACCAGGCTGGGCAATAAATATAGCAAGACCCCTGTCACTACAAAAAAATACAAAAATTAGCCAGGAATGGTGGTGTGTACCTGTAGTCCCAGCTACTCAGGAGGTGGAGGCAGAAGGATCCCTTGAGCCCAGGAGTTTGAGGTTGCAGTGAGCTATGATCTCACAACTGCACTCTAGCCCAGGTAACAGAGTGAGATCCTGTCTCAAACAAAACCAAACGAAACAACCCCGCCCCAAATATATGAAGAACTCCTACAAACCAATAATTTTTAAATAAAGACATCCAGTAAAAAAAAAGGGGGTGAAAGCCTGAGCAGGCAATTTGCAAAAGAGAATATCCAAACGGTCAATAAGCATATGTAAAAGTGATTAAAATGGCCATTAGGAAAAAAAATTTT